CTCCCGCTTTTCCATCTCCTGTTGTCATCAGAAGGTTTCAAAGTACAGATATCTTTGCCGCAGACCCTTCCTCCATTTGGGGCAGTCCCGGGCCACAGTCACCCAGGAGTTAATGCTGATGTTGCATTTTTTCAAGCTGGCCTGGAAGACATCGTTGGAGCATTTTCTATGCCCTCCTCTTGAGCGTACGCCTTGATTTTGCTGGGAGAATAAAACTTGTTTCAGGAGTATGGAGTCAGACATCCAGATGACGTGGCCAGCTCACGAAGTTGATGTCAGATGATCATCACCTCAGTGGTCATGGTGTTTGCTTGTGAGAGGATGCTAACAGTGGTGCATCCATCTTCCCACTGGATTCAGAGGATTGATGGTACTTCTCCAATTACTTGAGCCATCTCCTGTACGTTGTCCATGTCTCCACTACGTACAGTAAAGTGGGGATAACAACTGCTTGATAAACCATGAACTTGGTTTTGGATCTGATGTCACAATCTTTGACCACCCGGTTCCTCAGGCATCCATGGCTGCACTTGCACGTTTGAGGCGATGCTGGATTTCTCTGGTGAGGTCAGCCTTCTGCGAGAGATGGCTTCCGAGATGCAGGAAATACTCACCGTTCTCCAGAGTCTCACCGTGAATCTGAATTACCGGAGCTGGGAACTGCTCATTAAGAGCTTGTTGATGGAGGACCTTAGTCTTCTGAATGTTAAATGTCAGTCCCATTTTCTTGTACGCCTTGGTAAAGAACTTGATGATTGCCTGAAGTTCTGCTTCCAAGTGAGCACAGGCTACAGCCAACTACAAGCCAAAACCAAGGCCACCCTGACCCCAATCATCAAGCTCCAGTACTCTGATGGTGCAGTAGTCTATGTTAACATATATGCAATGAAGACATGATCAATAAACTCCTGTTACATCAGAGGAAAATGCTTTCAGATAAGAAACCTGACTATAAATTCAAGTACTTGTCTGTGGGCCAAAACCAGAAATCTGTAATTCAAGCCTGTTAGGATCTCTGGGCTTGAATTCCCAGCTCTGAACCTGCTTTCCACGTTGGACTCGAAACCAGAAGGCAGAGAGCTCTTATGTGAAGCTTTGGTTCTTGTTATGACCCAGGCTCATGTCAACTCAGGGAAACAGCAGTTCATATGCAATTTCCAACACACAGGCTGATAGAAATCTTACTTTTTTCAGATTTCTGTTCTTTGGGGTAAAATAGTGTCATAAGAGTTTGTTTCTGTTTGATACAAACCCCTGAGCTCACACTTGAATTCAGCTCACAAACTGTAGCCTAAGGTTAATTTATTATTAGTACTGCCATTTTTATCATAATGACTTACCAGCTATGGCTGAGTAGCCTTCGAAAGGGAGGCATTTATATTAATCTAGAATGATGGAAGAAGCAAAATTGTCTCTTCTCCTTCAATACAAGATAAATGCTACATTAATGATGCGACGTTCTACTCCTTATTGGACACAGCCATTCGCAGAACTAAATAGCGATTCACATCTGGTTTTGCAGGTGCAGCAAAAGTTCTGAATTCATGCATTGACACAAGGTGTGCATTTGCTTGAAAGTTACACATCCATATGCTGCAAGACGAAACAGTTAAAACCAGTCTCCTCCTTTCCTTATCAGCCAAAACTTCTAGTTCAAAGGTTTTCCTCTGCCTGCACGCTAAAAGCATGATAGCAGCCCACCCCACAGCTGGGTAAGGAATGCTGGGAATGCTGGTCCCTGCTCTGCTTTGCACTGTTATCATTAACACGTTCAAGAGCTGAACGTGCTAAGGACCCACTTTCACTACCTCCATGATCACATGTGGGGATGTAGTTACAAGACTAATTCTGCTAGCTAGCATAGGTGGAGCCCTTTGTTCTGTTACACCATTACAGCCCCATCTTGACAACTCAAAGCAAGCCTCTTTACTGACTTGACTCAGATGTAATGCAAGTAAAAGGGAGCCCAAACTCAACCCCACAGAGGAATGACTGCATTGACTGACCCCAATGCTGTAAAGCCATGCATAAATCCATTTCTCAAGGCACCTAAGAACGACCCTATTTCATGCTGCTTGAGCTCCTGAAAAACCGCTAATGCCAAAGACGGATGGGTTGTTCTCCTCTGTGTTGACTTTTGTGACTTAGTCCTAAGGTTAAGATGATGGAGTATGATACAAACACAGGTGCAGAAACAGTTTTTAAGGAGTTGAGCTGGGTGGAATAGCATCACACTTAGGTGCCTAATAAGTAGAATAGGATCTGACACTAGAAGTGAAATCCTGGACACACTTAAGTCAATGGGACATTTTTTTGGCCACCTAAGTGCCTTCAGGTATGTCTACACTGCACCTCCAAGGCTCTCAGGGAAAAACACACTTGAAAACATTTCTCCCACCTGCATTAACCAAACCTAGAAGTAATCCTGGGAGTGCCTACTACAGCTGATCTTGAGACCTTGGCCTCTTGCACACTTCAGAGTACCACAGGGGTTGCTGCCCAGAGGCTGTTTTCTAGAACATCACCTCAATTTTGAGAGCACCAGCAATGTAGCACTGAAATGCCCTTAGCAGCTTAACTTATAGAACCACAGGGTTGGAAAGGACCTCCCAGGTCCTCTCTTCAACCAGTTGGACAGAAGCAAGACTTGCTGTTCCTAAACTATTGCAGGCAGGTGAGTTACATGCTCATTTTGAGTTCAGCACTACATCATCCAGTCTCACTGACCTCAGCTGAGTGAGGCTGCTGTCCTGTGCAATTAAAGATGATGTCTTAATGCAAAGGCACAGAAGGAACATACTCATGTTGTACGGGTTTCCTAAATTTACAGTGCTTGACTGCAGCACTTGCAGTCTATTGGCATAGTTTGCTGTGGTTTGTTCATATACCAATGACAACTCTAAACAGCGTCTGTCCTGAAAGCCCAAGGAAGAGAATTACGATGTTATGTCCTGAGTAATACCAACTCCAAGGGCTCACTGAAATGTTCTTGAAGAAGACAACTGAAGGGCATGACATGGGAGCAGGAGAGGGGACATTTGCTCCTCTTCATGCACAATGACAGCTGAGGTTCTGATTCTCCGTGGATTTGCCTGTGGTCTGGACCCTACACAATGGGCCTGCAAGTCACAGATCTCCTCCCCTTGCCTTTCACTCAATGAAGAAAAATACTGTTCTGTTTCCATTGGCTTTTGCACTGTCGTTTAATAGGGACCGATCTCCACTCTCAACAATATATCTTTTGTGAGGAGCTCTCTGCAGAAACCTAAGACACCTTCCCCAGGATCTGTTTGCTTACAAAAGACGAGGTAGGGTTTGTTTAAACTCAGCTAGATTTAATATCTTGCAGACACTAGCGAAATGAGATTCAATTGGGGTGTCCCCCCCTTCTATTTTCCAATTTATTACCATGTTGGAATAAGATACTGGTACCAGCTGAGATACTTTAGCCTCTGCTATAGAAGGACTGTAAAGATCATAAAGTATTCAGATACTGCAGCAATGGGGACCATATCAGTACCTTTCACAGAGAGCTGTGCAAGGTAGGGTAGGGTCCCTTGGCTCTATTTCAAATCCTGCCACTGGTTCCCCATGTAAGCGCACTTTTTTGTGCTGCAGTTTATCTGTAAAATAGGGATAATATTTCTCAAGCTCAGACATGAGTTTTAGGATGCACTTGATACTTGTGAAGCCTGCTTGGGTTCTTTGAGAAGAATTGAGTTTAGCGTGCAATAATCCTCTTATCGTGGGGGAGACCCTCCCTATGTTGCTTTCTGACCATGGGGCAAACAGCTAAACAGTGAATGTACCATCCTGTTTTATCTGTTCAGCATAGACATACTTCTCAAAGAGACCCAGGGAGAAAGAATAGGGTGCTCCTTTTTTGAGGTCTCCAACTATAAAGCTAGAGAGAAAAAAAGGGGTTGGTTGTATATAAGGTACTTGGCTGAGTGAGAATTGTAGCATTTCCAGTGTTGAAAGCAAGTCACGGTTTTGAAAATGCGGCCCTTAAACTACAAACATCGCAGTCCTCCGCACTGAACCGGGAACTGGGAACCTGAACCGAAGCCCGCTGAAGCTCATCCAAGACTCCCACTGACTTCAGTTAGCTCCGCGTTAGGTTTCACATTGGCTGAACTGACTCTGAATCTAAACCAGCCTCAAATACTTTCTGGCCCTATCCAAAATGACCACACAAACAGCGCTGACAGCAAATTAGGCTGATGTGGTTTATAAGCTAGTTTCAGCGTAGTAAAAGAGGTCAAAATCCCATTAAGAGGTAAATGTCCCATTGATACAAAGTTGTGCGCGCTGTGGTGAGTTGGTGAATAATAAGCAAATAGGAGAAGAGGAAATATCAGACACAGTTTTGGTGCTACCAAATACCAGTGGTTGTCAGAAGCAGTCAGCATCCTTCTACCATGAATCAAAGGAGCCAGTTCTCCGAATTTTAGCTGTGGGAAATCAGCCTGTCTATTCCATCAGAAACAGGAACTTGCCCCACAACTTCATTTTCGCTTCCCACTTCCAGAAAATAAATTCTCCAGAGACATAGACCAGATTCACACTTGGACTCCAATAAAGCCACCATGCATCTGTGGGATGGAGTACATTGAAAGAGGCAGCTGGTAATTATTAGCTGATCTCTAACAGGCAGGATTTCCCACTGCTGCTGAGCCAATGCTCTGAGGAACTTAATGCCTCCTTGTTGATAGAAATCAGGTAAAAATTAGCCAACGGGGACAGGTTTTTTCATTACAACTATGAACAAGGAACAATAGAAGAGTGAACAGGGAGCTTCCAGAAACATGGATACAAGACTGGTTTGGGAGCTTGGTCTAAACTTCCCCACGTGCATCCTCCTTAAGTTTTACCTAATTACCAAGCTGCTCCCCAGGGAGCCAAAAAATCTGCTCTCCCCTCTAGGGAAGTAATCAAGCCAAACGAGCTTCCCTGCAAACAAAGGGACTGTGAGACTGAAGACCCAATGCAGCACTTACTCTTTTGGAGGGTTCAGGTCCTCTGGTCGAGTCTCAAAGAACCGAAAAACTTCATCGCACTGTGAAATGTGAGGAGGGAGCCTGACCAGTGCCTAGAAAGGAAAAGAAGCAGGGGAGGCTTTAGAGACATCAAAATTACAAGCATGTTCTTCAGCAAGACAGAGGCAAGTGCAAATTTTGGGAGCATCTCAGCAGAACAATGTTAACCAGGAAAAGGGGAGAAGCCAGAAAAGTGCCCTGCTTGGATCCATACCTGAAAAAAAAGTGTGTGAAAGGCATTGAGTGCAAAATTATACTGTGTATCTGGACAAGCACAGGGGCTCAGGGAGGGCTGGCTTAGCTTTGGATCCATGGGCAAAATTCTGATCCAGCACCTTATGTCCTGCTCCATTATAAAGGGGCAGGGACTCTCTCTTTGTTATGTGTTTGCCCAGCACCTTAGGTTATATACAACTAAATTACAATAGTGATAATCTGCAAATTCAGCTTTTGCTACTCTAGCAGAATTATTTGTCCATACGCCTTTCCTTTGCGCATTACTAAGGGTAGAAGCACAAGGCATTTCCTTGTAAGTTAATAGGAAAGAAAGCTTGATTAACAGGCTGGAAAGAAGGGCACAGAGGTGATTGCTGCGGCACAAAGGACCCTTCACTGTAGGGCTCAGCATATAGATGCTCTCTGCATGGTACAGATATGCAGTGCTCACTGGGCTAGCAATCAATACTATCTGTTGGGCAACCGCAATTATATTTAAGTCTACTGGAAAGAAAGCAGTCAAATGGAGGAGGTAAAGGCCAGCATATGTTCAGAGTGAGCTCTCCAGGCTCCATGGTTTGGTGCTGGGGAGATCAAACATCCGTCCCAGGTAATCGCCAGTGCAGAAGCATCAGCTCACACATGATTTAGGGACTTAGGGAAGTGGGCAGCAGAACAAGGAGTTGGAACTAAGGTCCTATGGAAAAAGACTACATAGAAAAATAGCACTGATGATGAGGCCCTTAAGGAGGCAACCCTCTTCTAGAGAACAAGACTACTTGGCCCTTACATCCATTGAAAACACGGTAAAAGACCTCACCTCCCTTTTGGACAATCTTGAAAGTCACATGAAAAAGCACGTTAGCACTAAATCATGGGCATGGCTGGATGAATGGGCACAGACCAGGGGTGCTCAGCCCCTGGCCTGCAAGCCAGATCCAGCCATCAGCACTGTGTCATCCAACCTGTGGGGCTCCCCACAACCCCAACAGGTGTGGGGGGGGGAGAGTGCAGAGCCCCTTGTCCTGATCCTGGGGCTCACTGACCAGCCCTGCACCCCTTATCTGGTCCACAGGGCCAAAAGTTTGATCACAGACAGCATAAACTAAGTGGTGACAGATCTGATTTACCTCGGTCACACAAACATGGTGGGGCATGTTTGAAACCAGAAGCCAGGGCAGTGCAATGTGGTTAGCAGTCATGTTTTGCATTGAACTGAACTCAGAGACCTGGAATTTGTTTCTGCGAGCATCTCTCCTTTACGGAAGCAAGGAAATGGTGAACCACTTACAAATGCTGATCTAATATTGCATTCCCGCAGTTCCAACTTGCCACCTTCAGTGTCTATATCCCTATCTTGGAAAGGTCCACATTTCAGATGATACAGCTTCCAAGGAACCTGCAGCTGTGCATTTTCTATGTGTGGTACATTCACAATGTGGAAGTAGGGAGATTACATTTGGCTCCAGCATATCTGTGGATCCAATGACAGTGGCCTTGGTAAAATGTGTGGTCACTAAGGGAGCAAAAGTAATCCCTTACAATAGGAAGCAATGTGAGGATGCACAAACTGGAAACAGCTCTGTTACTGCAGTGCTGGGAACAAATAGGCAATGTAGTCACAGGTCTTTCAAGGTGTTGCATACAAAACTGAGCAGCAACAGACAGGACCCCAAATGTCTGTTCTGGGATAGAGACACCCCAACCCCTGCTGCTGCACTGTTTATGTATGATGGCTTTTTTTAAGAAGAAAAATAAGCTTTTTTTCCCCCAGCCTCATTCTCCCTCTCTACAAGCAAAGAAACATTCCTGGACTATTATACAGATGACAGAATACCTGCCTCAGAATAGCAGTCACTGCAGCACCCTGGGGCACTTGGAAACCCTGACTTGATGATCTGCTCAGGTCCCTTCTGACCCTACCAACTATGAAACACAATGTTGCGCTGTTGGGTGTGCAAACATGATTCACAAGATAAACCTAGAGCTTTCAAATAGGAATTCATAATGTCAAAAACATTCTGCCTTGTTGTGGTCTCTTGAGTTTCCGCAAGGGAAGTTGAGGTTAGATATTAGGAAGGACTTTCTCCCTAGGAGGATGGTGAAGCACTGGAACAGGGTACCCAGACAGGTGGTGGACACTCCATCCTTGGAGGTGTTTAAGACCCGGCTAGACAAAGCCTTGGCTGCAAGGATCTGGTTGGGGCTGGTCCTGCTTGGAGCAAGTGGTTGGCCAAGATGTGACCTGCTCTTCTAACCCTAATTTTCTATGATTCTAACTGCTCTATTATTTTTCTGTAGTCAAAAAGCAAGTGAAAATACAGAGCTGCTGTTTTCTGAGGGGCGCCTTGAGTCCACTGAGGGGTGCCTTGAGTTTAAAAATGTTGAGAACCCCAGGTTTAAACTACAGAGAGAGGGCACTTTCCAATTTTGCTGGGGTGCTGTAGGGCATGTTGTACTGCTCCAGAAAGCCTGTTTTTTAAACCAGAAGCAAAACAGCTGTGTCCATATAGTACAGCAGAGAGACTAATTCAAATGAATGGGGACGGGCTAACTGGCAGTCATTCAATTGTGCTAATTAGCCTGCTCAAAATATGAGGCATATGCAGCTACACTGCTGTCTTGGGGAACAGCCTGCCTGGGGCAGCATGGAGCACTTGAGGATGCTACCACATAGACGTGCCCTTAAGTAGTAACAGTTCTGCATTTTGGAAAGCTATTGCTAACTGTACCCTCAATCTCACAGTGGTCCATAGGGCATTTCCATTGAAGTTAGTATGACAGAGATAGCCACTGTAACCAGGAAATGTAATTACTACTAAATATCCAAATGTTGCTTGGCCCCAGAGGTCTGTTTAGCAGGCTCCAAACACCAAACACCGACAGAAGTGGGCTCCACTTCCATATGACATCAGGAGGCGCTACTTCACGGTCAGAGCGGCTAGGGTCTGGAACCAGCTTCCACGTGAGGTGGTGCAGGCTCCCACCCTGGGGGTTTTTAAGAGGAGGTTGGATGACCACCTTACTGGGGTCGTTTGACCCCAGTACTCTTTCCTGCCATGGCAGGGGGTC